CCCCCCCCCCCCCATCTATTACGGAATGAACTGAAACTGAAAGAAAATAAAAGTACATAAATTAAAGGGATAAACAGGATATTACAGGCTGGCACAACATTGTACTTCCGGACTCCTTGAGATTTCAGTTTAAAAACTACTTTTACAAATGGAAATTTATAATTTTTCTTCTTTAGATGATATTTCTATCAAAATTTAAACTGAAGTCTTTTTTTCTTTTTCAGCTTTTTCTTTTTATTTAGGAGAATAAAGCTGTGAAAGTTCAGGAGCTACTTGGTTTATATCTTATTCCAGTCTAGCTTGAGTTAGATAAATGTCACAAGACTTACTTTTCCTTTACAATTTTGTTACTTAGTTAGTTGAATTTGATTATTATAAAAACTTTGTTATAATTTGTAAATATGAAATTTGAAGGTAACAGAACTTTTTCTTCGAAATATTAAACTATTATACGACATCAACCCAAAACCTTTCAGAAATAGAACTAATACCTTGCTTCTATCTTTTTAATCCTTATATCTTTGCAACCTGACACTGTTAGATCTAAAAGTAAATCATTTTGAAATATGAAAGGTAGCAACATGTAGGCTTAAAAAAAATAAAGTTTTTTGAGACACACCAGTTACTTTTTCTGATTGTCAGTAATGAAATGTTGGCGAAAATATTAAAAGTTACAATTACGGCAAAAACTGCAGAACATATTCTTTTTTCATTTGAATTCATTTTAGTTTTCCGTAAATTTATTTTAGATTTCCGTAAATATATTTTAGTTTTCCGAAAATTCATTTTAGTTTTCCGTAAATTCATTTTAGTATTTCGTAAATTCATTTTAGTTTTCCGTAAATTCATTTCAGATTTCCGTAAATATATTTTAGTTTTCCGCAAATTCAATTTAGTTTTCCGTAAATTCATTCTAGTTTTCCGTAATCTGCAATGTTAATTCATTAACTGTTAATTCATTAACTGCAAACCAGTGCAGAAGGAGAACATTTTTTGTTCTTCTCAATAGCTTTCTAATTAATGGAGTTATTTTACGTGGAATTTACTTTAGTTCGACGTGCATTGAACCAAAGTGTCAATTGTATTTGTAAAGCGAATTTCTAATTGGGACTTTCCAACCCTTTCAATGTATTAATATTAGATAGAAATGAGGTTCCAACTTCAACTAACTAATCTTGAAGGATGTTATAGGATGGAATAAAACTGGAATAAGATTTTCTACCAAAATCACAATCAATTATATCCCAGTGAATAATATTGTTCAAGTGCTTGTTATTTCATTTTTTTAAGATAAAATTTTTTTCTGGGATTTAATTTTAAAATACTGCAATGTTATTCAAGGGAAATATATTCTCTTGATTGAAAAACATATTTGATTGTTATAATTTGATAAATGCAAAATAAGAGTATTGAAATATATTGAATGTGCACAAAAAATAGGAAGAATGCTTAAACAAATTCAAAAATACCAACTTCGGATCAATTTTTACTGTTTTATTAAATCTAAAGATTTTTTTGGGACACTTTCTAATTGGAGGCTCTTTTTCTAAGACTGGTCCAATAAACGGATAATAAATTGAATTATTACAGTTATGATAATAATACTAAGGATGTTTTGAATGTGTAACTAACCTCATGTTGATAAGGTATTGAGCAAGGGCAACAGATTCACAGTTTCCTGAGATTGTGATTGTTCTGTCAAGGTTAGCTGGAGCATCCCTGTCCTCACAGTTAGAAATCCTGATCATAGCTCCAGATAGTTGCCTAGATAGATAGATAAATAGATAAATAGATAGATAGATAGATAAATAGACAGATAAATAGATAGATATATAGAAAGATAGATATAAAGAATAGATATAAAGATAGATATAAATCACTTCTGCTGAATCACACTTCTCACAATGCTACATCTAACGTTTTAAACACCCTGTTAACACATTCACTTCTTCCGCTAATTACACTCCCTACACGTATTACTCAAACATCTGCAACATTACTAGATCACATATTTAGTAATTCAGATCCTGTGGAATCATCTACTCAAGTTTATCTGACCATTTACCCTTTTTTTCATTGTCTAAATGTACACAACATGAAGATAATATTGGTAGCAAACCAGTTCTAGTTAGAAACACTTCAATCGAAAATAAAACCAAGTTTAAGGAAAAATTGTTACTCAATGACTGGACTCATGTTATGATAAATAAAAATCTTTCTACAGCCTTTTCTGAATTTTCTAACACATTTAATAATATTTATGAAGAAATCTTTCCATTAATCAAATATAAGCCAAACAAAAATAAAAATTCTGTTATCCTTGGTTTAAGTCCGCCTAGCTATAGTGTCAAGAAAACAAAAATAAAAATCCAACTAGAAACAATTTAGAAACTTTTAGAAAATATAATTCTGTTTATCGCACAACAATAAAAAAGGCCAAGACTAGTTATTTTTCTTCAAAATTTACAGAATACTCAAAAGACATCAAAAAGACCTGGTCTTTACTGAACTCTATTATATCTTCTAAGAAAAAAAGTCATTCAGTTCCTGATATTTTCACTGATGATGAAAAAAGTTTTGTGGGATCTGCTGAAATAGCAGNTGAGTTGCAGGGATAAATATATATATATATAGATAGATATATTGATAGATAGATAGATAATTAGATAGATAGATAAATATATAGATAGATAGATCGATAGATTAATAGGTAGATAGATAAATAGATAGGTAGGTAAATAGATAAATAGATACATAAATAGATAGGTAGATATATAGATAGAGAGATAGATAGATAGATAGATAGATAGATAGATAGATAATAGATAGACAGAGAGATGGATAATAGATAGACAGATAGATAGATAGATAGATAGATTTATAGATAGACAGATAGATAGATATATATATATTGATAAATTGATTGATAGCTTTAATAGCTATGAATTGATGACCCCAAAACATATATTTTTAAAATATCTTTTTTTTGTTTCTTCTTTTTATTTCAAGCTTTTATGCCATTTATCAAGAATACTGGTGTATAATAATACAATAAAATTCAGGGATAAATAAGGAAAACCCATCTTTCTCACAAGGTTTATAATATTTTTCTTATAAAACTACATTGTCTAATGTTAACAAAAGTACTAGAAGCAGGTGTAATCAAAAATTGAAAATATCAAATGTATGATAATTCACCCCTTGTTCAATGTAGAATAAACGCTAGGATATCCTCAAGCTTATTTAATAATACATATGCGTATATCAATTCTTTTAAGGAATTGAGTCCTTGCAACAAACTCAAATGTTCTAATCCATATATCTTTGTACCCTGAAGGTGTAAACCTTTAATATTTCAAACTTGGATTATTTGATCCATGAAATCCATAGTTTGAAAATGTTTAGCAAATCAGAGTTTATGGCAAAGACTCAATTCCTCTACATGACTCCAGAATTTAATATTCCTAAAAACTTTCTCATTTGATATTTTTATAATAAACTCTGAAAATCAAAAAGTCAAAGTTTTAAATTTAAAAGTACAGTGATATCAAATTTCGTGGCGAGTGTTTAGTTTCTTTACCCTCTTAAAATTGATTATTACAATTGCGGTTCGTTATCAGGATTGAACACTTTTACAGACAGAAAAAAATCAGAGAAAATATTCAAAGATACATTCCACTAATAACTTAGGAACTTAACATTAATTATGAATGAATTTACTTCAACTGCACTTCAAACAATTTCATGTCATAGAAAGAAATGTTTTTTTTCGAACATCAGCAAAATATATAATTACTTTGAAGAATTTGTGTAAATAAAAAGTTTAATGCTTTGTTTTGAGTCAAAATGTTTTCTCATTTAACAGGTTTTCCTTTCTTCCTCTATTCTTCTCTTTAGAACAGTTTAAAAAGACATCAATTTTACTGAAAAAGTTGCTTAAAGTTAAATTAATTCAATATTGTAGTTTTAAAGAGAATGCATTTTTCAAAATAAAGAATATAGTGTGGCGGCGTAGTGGCGGAAGACGAGACTTCTGAGGGGTTTTGAACCTAAGATCTAGACGCGGCAAGATGAGCAACTTCCGGCCACGTCACCTATCTACCTATTAAATATTTTACGTTCATAGAAATTTAAGTATATAAATTTAGTAATAAAGTAATTATTTAACCAGGCGTTTGTTAAACTGAGCGTAGCTAAATTTGGTGACCCCGAGTTCAAAACTATAGGCATATAGACTGTTTTCCGTGCCATTATAGACTGTTTTTATAGCTACATGCTCATCAAGTGATCAGAATGCCTAAGGACAGTGATAACGTCCATGCTCTAGCTGAACCCAGCTCGCTGGATTTATTAAACTCTGTTTCTGTGAAAGTTCCAGCTTTTTGGCCAGATTCTGCGGAGGCCTGGTTCGTGCAGGTGGAGGCTCAGTTCGCCCTCAAGGGAGTTACCGCTAGTTCCANAAGACGAGACTTCTGAGGAGTTTTGAACCTAAGATCTAGACGCGGCAAGATGAGTAACTTCCGGCCACGTCACCTATCTACCTATTAAATATTTTACGTTCTTAGAAATTTAAGTATATAAATTTAGTAATAAAGTAATTATTTAACCAGGCGTTTGTTAAACTGAGCGTAGCTAAAATAGAATCTATATACTTTGCTTGTTTGTCTGTCCGTTTGTATCCAATAAACGTCAAAACGGCTGAACCATTCAGACCTTGCATGAATCCGGGGAAGGTTTATGGAGGATCAAAATGACAAAAAATTGTATCTAACAGTCTTTGATTTTTGTAAAATTTTGAGAATGCGCGAAAAAAATATTACTAAATCCGCAAACTTTTTTTGGTTATTTTTTTATATTGTACAAAGAGAAGATGCTCACATATCGAGCCACAAGCACAAGTTGAAAAAGAGGTTGGGCGCGAAGCGCTCTAAAAGCCTAGTATTGTAAATATAGAAATGTCTATTATTTGGTTAGTAATATCTGTGTACAAGTACAGTCAGGGAAGCTTATAGAGATTTTTAAACACGCAAGGCTTACATTAATTCATTAGATCATTCGTCATACTCATCTTCAAATATAATCAATACACTTAAGCTACAAGGGAAGAAATTGTATAATCTGAGTCCAATGATATAAATAAAATAAATCCAATGAGTTATATGTTAGATCAATTCTTTATATACAGGGTTACCCACAAAGAATGAGACTGGAGAGGACCTGAAAATTTATAAAAATGACGATTTCATGATTGAATTAAATCTTCTGTCTGTGTTATAATCTTTTAAAGGATTATTCAATGATCGGGCACTGAGAGAAACAAATCTACAGTTTCTGAATGAATACAAGGATCCGAACAGCAATTATTCCGTACAGTCGTCTCTGTAATCTCATCCTTTGTGGGTAACCCTGTAGAGATTCTATAAAAACATACCTAATTTCTGCCACTTTTGAGCCTCCCTTTCCGATAATGCAACCAATAAGCTCGTTTGGTACAGTCATCTCGTGGGTCTGATGTGGGGCTGGGGGGCGAGTATGCCCAGCTAGAAGTGCCAGGGTGGCAGGGTTAAGAATACCCCCACCCAGAGGACTGCCCAGGCTAACAGGGATACCAACCTTTCCAGCCTACAAGCAAACACACTGTAAAGAAACTTAGATTATTTGATTTACCAGAATTTATAGTTTGATATATTAAAGTTCTACGATATCTGGTTGCAAAGATATGGGGATAAACAAATCAGAATTTGTGGCAAAAACTCATTTTCTTTAAAACTTGAATATATAAATATCCAACAGTTTTAGTATTTTATCCAACATTTTTGAATTATTCTGTTACTAATTCATAAAAACGACTAAATCTTTCGTATTTCTACTCAAATCCCTATAGTTTCAGTAGAAGTAAATATTTATATTTACTGATAGTGCCAATTGAAAGATTGATATCTCTTATTGGATAATAAGATAAAAAGATAGATATTACCGCCATAATATGTTTATTGGTTCAGAATAGACAACAAACACATGACTGAACTCTGATTGGATCAGGCGCTAATGGACTCCGCTTACAGGAGTGAAATATAGATGTCTCTTCTTTAAATCGGGCAAACATATGATTTGTCGTCAGTTATAGGGTTTCCAATGTTTTGACCAGTGATATTATGATAAATCATTAACAACAACTGGAAATAAACGGCGGATTGTTTTTTAGATGCCTTTAAATGAATTTACCCCTCAGATAATACTCTTGGTGTGACATTTTAAAAAAAGTTTACGTACTTTTCCATCATTGAATTGATCCAGAATATACGTCCCGTAACATTTTTTTAGCAGATCACACATACTGGCACCCGTAGTAAATTTGAATGTCCGAGCCGGGTCAACCTTTCCAGTCACAGTTTGTACTGTACCTACCTCTATGGACAGGACTAGCCGGTGCAACAAGGTTGACGCGGTCAGACTTTATTCTTCATATAGGTTGAATTTACTTTTACCAAAGGGGCAGATTTGCGTGGATGGTGGGTTGGGAAATATAACACTAGGATCAGCAAAAATAAAACTATTTTTACATTCAACAAACATTTTCATCAAAATTATATCAATTTTTTACAATAAAGTTTTTGACACTGTTATATGGGTGGTTATCTACTACGTTATAAGCATTATATTTCATTTGCCCCTCCATTCAAGGCTATAACTTTCGTTCTAACATCTTCAATTTTCCCCAGAAAATGGTTTCCATAATAGTATCATTCTGCAGAAATTACATGATTACATTATTCCTTTGGATAAATTGGAAAATTATTGTTTTTGTTTGTTAAATAGCTTATAAATATTAAATATATTTATTAAAATGAACTGACTGAAAAATCATTAAAAGGTTACAAAGTTAATTTTCAGTTCTTTAAGGAAAACAAAATTAATTATCTCAGCCTAAGCTAAGGGGTCCGGAAAACACAAACAACTTAAAAATGGCCAAAATTGAGTTTTGGAAAAATAAGTAAAATAAGTCAACACCTGGTGTCCTCTCTCACAGTTATAGGCTTCTGAACTTGTTCTAAAATGTTTTCCACAGTTCCTACATACATATTTCTTCTCACCAGTGTGACCTGGAAGTATCATATTTTTTTTTGATAAAATGTTAGATATTTGCTGTGTTTTGTACAGTGAACACTGATATGTTCGCGCAAAATAAACTAATACCATCTGTACAATTTAAACATAAATATATATATACCAGGCTCTATCTTCTATTTCAATTGTGAACATTTTTTCTTTGTATACATTGTAAAACAAAACAAGAAAAAGTTCGCGGATTTCATAAAAAATTTGGGCCCGATTAGTTTAGCCGTTTTGACGTTAATTGGATATAAACGGAAGACAAACAACCAGACAAGCATCGATCTTCCGCACTATCTTTGATTGTTTAATTGAGGTAAAACTGTTATTAATTGTTTGTTCACTAATCCCATTCTGCTAAGAAACTTGATATTCATCAGCTTAAAATTCATTAATGTATTGATCTCTTTGTACAACTAAAGTCCTTGACACATTTATTTGATTCCAACGTTATCAACCTTACGTGCAGCAGGCTAATGGATTGGTCACACGAAGTTTTTTTTAACCTCCTTCGGGTTTTTTATGGTACAAGTACAATTAAATTTTGCGTATAAGAGCTGAGAAAGTTTTTTAACCTGCTAGATGGAATTGGTATCCAGAATTTCCCTTAAAACTCTCGCCACAATATTCACAAACAAACTTCCTTTGTTCTCTATACCCGGGTTAAAAATATAAACATGTCAACATTTTGATTTGGTACTTGTACAAGGTGGTGAGGTGAACCCTGTTTTTCACTTGATTGAATGATAAGAATGTTTTGTAAATGTAAGACAGAATTTTCTTAATTTATATTTTCCCTGTAGTTAGAAAATAGATATTTTCCTTGCCAAATCATTTACTAAACCAAACTATTTTGAAATTCGAAAATATAATTAAACCTTCAGGTCACCATTTATGTCCTATATTTTATATCTACCCCTGAATATAATTAAATTAAGCTTTAATCGGATTCCTTTGAGTGTGTTGTTTCCGAATATGGTCTGCAAGTTTCTTAACCTGGATTCCACAAATAGAACCTAGAGATAAATAAAGGTACTCAACAATGGATATAATGAAGCAAACTGATAATAATCATTTTTCATCGACTACTGTGTTCAAAGTTGTATACGAAGGTAAGATACCCTGGATGCTCCAATGTAGGTTAAAGACGACCTTTATAGCAATGGACACTCTAAAACCCTAATTGACGTCATAGCTTATATTAAAGAATAATACATTTTGCGGGTCACTACATATAAACAAACTCAAAATTTGAAAACATGAATTAGAATTGCATTTTTAGCTTCAAACTTGTAATCTGGTTTGCACAATTAATCAATATTTGTTAAATGTGATGATTGTTAGTCAAGTGCCATTGACGACATTTACCTATATTGGAGCGCATCCTGAGTATCTAACCTTATGTACAACCTTGACTGTGTCTCCAAAAAACGCAAATTTAGGTTGAGCAATCATTGTGGTTAGATTTAAACATTTTTGGACATTTAGGTTTGTATGTTTTATTTCTCAACCTAGTTTCTTAATTAGTATTTTAAGATTGAGTTAGTTTGCTGTTTTGAATTTAAAAATTTAAAATCCTGAATTACCTGTTTTCTAAAACTTTGTTAAAAATTTGAACTTACATTCTCTGGTAGGTTGTGAATGTGCTCTGTGAATATGCCAATACATCTTTAATCTAGAGTTGATCAGTTTTCTACAGTGTGTACAGTGCTGAGGTCGCTCATATTCAACATCAATCATACTTTCAGGAAAATTCCAGAAGTTTTTATAAATTTATTTTTCCTAATAGCTACAGGAAAGTTTTCGGAAGGACTTTACGGGTCTAAATTAATCCGGAAAAAAATTAATTTAATTAATCAAATTAAAGAGATTATATTAAAAATACTTACTTGAACATGATTCATATGATTACTGGGAACTAGAGCCTGAAAAGAAAAAAAATCAAATTTAATCTATATATATATATATGCTTTGCTTGTCTGTCTGTTTGTTTGTTTGAATCCAATAAACATCGAAACGGCTGAACCGATCTGGCCCAAATTTTGTGTGGGACCTCACGTGGCCCCAGAGAAGGTTGATGAATGATCAAAATTTCAAAATTTTTGAAGAACAAAATTCGATTTTCATTAAATTTGTGAAAATTAAAAAAAAACACGATTTTTTATGAAATCCGCGAGCTTTTTTTGTTTTGTTTTACAATGTACACAAAGAGAACATGTTCACAATTGAAATAGAAGATGGGTGCGTAGCGTCCTAAAACCTAGTATTTCATATTTTTACTCAACAACACAGCATGATCGAGATAAATATTGATTACCCTTTGTTTAAATATTTTTGCAGATTTAGTTTCTTTAAGGTCAATTTTAATTGCATTACACAATTTTGGAAACATTTCTAGATTTCTATTTAAACCCCGTTCTAGTTTATATTTTGTTCTAATCGGTTCAGCTAGAGACTTAAACATATTAATCGGTTCAGCTAGAGACTTAAACATATTAATCGGTTCAGCTAGAGACTTAAACATATAAATCAGTTCAGCTAGAGACTTAAACATATTAATTGGTTCAGCTAGAGAGACTTAAACATAATAATCGGTTCAGCTAGAGCGACTAAAACATATTAATCGGTTCAGCTAGAGGCTTAACCATGTAAATCGGTTCAGCTAGAGACTTAAACATATTAATCGGTTCAGCTAGAGACTTAAACATATGAATCGGTTCAGCTAGAGACTTAAACATATTAATCGGTTCAGCTAGAGACTTAAACATATTAATCGGTTCAGCTAGAGACTTAAACATATTTATCGGTTCAGCTAGAGACTTAAACATATTAATCAGTTCAGCTAGAGACTTAAACATATTAATCGGTTCAGCTAGAGGCTTAAACTATTAATCAGTTCAGCTAGAGATTTAAACATATTAATTAATTAACATTATTAAAGAGACTTCATTAAAACGTTTTCTTTTCTTTCCAGTTAAAGGTACCCTCACTTATATAGATTGCCTGTCCGATTCACAGTGGTACCCATCAAACTTTTGTTTTTAAAGTCTTTGAAAATTATTTATTTTATTTTTCATAGCTGCCCCTATGGATTTCTGATGCAGAAACACTGGCGGAAGTTGACAGAATGAAACACGTCAAGCCAGATTAGTGTTAAAAACAGGGAACCGTTCTCAAACTATCTGCCTATCCCTCCATATAAAAATGAAAGGTTCACCTGAAATCGCAAAGATGCTCTTTAAAAAAATAGAAATAAATTTTAAAAAAATGTTGTTTCTTTAACCTGTGAGGGTTGTACAAGGTTGGGTAGGTTTGGAACACCAGGAATACTCAAGGTCTTCAAGGGAGTATATGGAACAGTTATTCCTTTCGGGGGAGACTAAAATATCAAAATATGTTAATTTTACAAAAGTTGGAAAGAAATTAAGTCTTTGCCGCAATCTCTGATTTTCTACTACCTATATCTTTGCAACCCCATGTTGTACACCATTGATCTTTCAAACTATGAATTCTGTCAGATCAGATAATCTAAGTTTGAAATATCAAAAGTTTACGTCATCAGGTTGCAAAGTCTTAGGCATTAGAAAATTTTTAGTTTGTGGCAAAAACTCAATTTATTTATAAGTTGAAAGAGGCAGAGCAGAGCATAAGTATTAGTTAAAATAATACTACATAGCTTAACTTATTTCATTCATAAATTTCCATCTCCGATCTGGTAGCTTTTAAACTAATTTAATTAACTTTAGTCGGATTTGATTAGTTAACATCTTTTATGCCTAACTCATCTTGGGAGGTTAGACGTATTTGAACCAACTTGAGTTGGTTTGAGAAATTTAAAAGTTACCAGCAGTAGTGTTTGTATAATTAAGCATTGAGAGAAAATGATGAAACAAAATTTAACATAAATCATAAAGGAGAATACTTTTAGCAAAAAAAGACTGTTTTGAAATGACCAACCTGTACCTCTGACATAATGGAACATATTTGATAAATTGCTTGAACCACGGCCTCACGACTTCCAGATACCGTTACTGTTCTTTCAGTAGAGTTAGGTAACATCTCACTTGCAACCTAGACAAAACACTCCTGTATGCCAAGTTCATTAGCGCCTGATCCAATCCGGGTTCAGTCATGTGTTCATGATGTCTATTCTGAACCAATAAAAAATAGTTTGGCGGTAATATCTATCTTTCTATCTATCTCATCATCCAATCAGAGTTATGAATCCTTCAATCGCCGCTATCAGTAAATGGAAATATTTACTTCTACTGAAACTATGGTGAAAACCGGTTTTTAATAAAAATGTAAAGTTACGGTGGACTAGAGTCAATTTGAAGTCAAACCGAACCGACCCCTTGTACCGGCCGTAGTGATGCACGGCAAGTGCCGGCCCGACCTCTTGTACAGGCCTTAGTGACGCGCGGCAAGTGCCGGCCAGATCATATCTTAGGGCGGCCCTTTATAAATCCTTGAGAGGTGCTCTTTTACTTCAGAATAGATAGTTATGAAACTAAGAAAAATCGGACATCTTTAATTTGAGAGTTAAAATGTTTTCCAAATACTTAAATTTAAACTTAAAATAATTTTATACATCATTTTGAAAATCTCAAATACTGTACTAAACGACATAGTTGTAAAAAAAATACATTATTTGAGATTTCATCAATTTTATGGCAAATTTAGCTGCAAAATTGTCGATTTTCTGCTACATATTTACACCTTACTTACTTACGCCTTGGCAACTTAAAAAATTGTTAATTTCACTTGTGCTGGTTTCTGTAATGTATAATGTTTCTAAAATGTGATTATTTATTCATTTATCTTCAGAAATGGTCAATCTCTTAAGTACTTGGAAAAAAAATACATTTCATCATGTTAAGAAAATTCAAAATCGCCAAAAATTCAATGCGTGTAAGAACATTTGTCTGTTATTTTACTCAGAAAATCCTTAGTTTTTAACTGTGAAAATTGTTTTATATCTTCTTGCAAAATCCCGGATACTACTGATCTAAAATGCTGAAATAGTACCGTTGTGAATTGGAGATGCCCCTTCTCTATGAAAGGTTACTTGAAATTACGCTTATATTCCCTTTAAGCTGCAGTACTTTGCATATATTCCTATAAGTGTTCGTTGTCAACAAATATTCAGGGTTACCCACAAAGGATTGGACTTTAGAGACTACTGTACGGAATTTATTTTCTTGCATTCATGGGTTCCTTGTAGGTCAAAACTGGCTTATTTCTGTGCTTCATCATTTAGTAAACCATCAAAATAATAAATTTAATGCAGAAACCAAAAATCAAGTGTCAAATCGTCATATTTTTAGAGTTTTGGGTCGTCTTTATAGTCTCATCCTTCGTGGGTAAAACCCTGTAGATACATTTTTGGTGGATTTTCCTTGGTGTTTACAAAGTTTGGCAAGAAAATTTAATTTAGTTTTGTTTGTCAGAGTTTAATTCATGTTTGTTTGCACTGTTTCAATTGGTGGTGTTTGTCGAGTATTCCTTGTTTGCAGGTTCATGTTATGTTATTGCTTAGGCTACCATTATACCCCTCCCTGGGGTGTTGTTTAAGAATATATTGCAACAAAGTTCCAACCAAACAATACTCGTGTACACCAAATTCCTAAATTTCAGGCTATTTACATAAACTTAACGTGGGGGGGGGGGGGACCCCCCCCCCNATAATAAATAAAGATTATCATTAATAAGTTGAAAACCTACTTTAAACCAAAATAACAAAACCTAAGAAAGTAAAGTATAAATAAATGTAAAAAGTGTATAAAATATCCATTCTGATAGACTGAGTTTCAAAGGAAATTGAGATATTTCAAAGTATTATAGAAACAGCATGGAGGATTTCACAAAATAGTTTTTATTTCTTTAATATTTCCCGTATATATATACCTTATAATATTTTTCTTCGACAACAAAACTAGAAAAGCAAAAATAGAAAGAAGAGTTAACAGAACAGCAACGAGGGAGGAATTGGGGGAGAGGGGGGGGGAAGGTTTGGGGGAATTAATATATTTTGAAGAGATTTAGATATAAGGGATTCACGTACGCTTCCTGAATCTTAAAGAGATATGGTAATATTGTTTAATGTATATAATTATACATAATTAATAATAATTTGCAGCTTTGTAAATGCCAAACAAAACAGAAACAATTATGTCGAGACTTAAAAATATTTTTTGGCTTTATGGGGGCTGCACAACGTCTACGTGAAAGATCTATTTTTAAAGTTTATTAAAACAACTGTTGCCCTCTTACAATGCATGTGCAAAATATGCCAAAAAAAGATAATATCAAGTCATAAAGTTAGCGTGAGTCAGAGTAAGGGATATGTGTATTTAAGAAGGAAAGATATAATCAAAATGTATTTTAAATGCTAGAATTTCTTTGAATTGTTCTAATTAATTTAACCTTTCCAAATACTTTCAAGTATCCTAGAACCCCTAGAAAGTGTGCTTTGAAGCCTTAAGATTTAATTACAAAGGCAAAAATTATTTTAAGGGAGTTGAGTCTTTTCTCCAAACTTTGATTTTCCATTCCCTATAACTTTTCAACATAATGGAAAAAAAACCCTTGATATTTCCAACTTAGGTTTTCTCATCAAACAAAATTAATAGAAATATCTAGGGTCTACGACATTTGTCGCAAAGATATGCAGATTTGAAAATCAAAGTTTTTTTTAAGCAAAGAGTTTATTCCTTTGTTATTGTTTTTACCTGTACAGAGGCACCACGGTTTTTACCTGTACAGAGGCACCAGTGTTTTTACCTGTACAGAGGCACCATTGTTTTTACCTGTACAGAGGCACCAGTGATCTCGCGGATTTCTTTTATTTTTGATCCTCCTTTTCCTGATAAAATTATATATATATATAGAGAAATTAATTTTAAAGAATGAATACAAAATCAGGTTCAAAATTGATGCATAACAAATAAGCCAGTCTGCTTTTAAGTGTTGTATTGTACTGTACGGCACGGTCCAAGAGACACCGTTGAAGAGTGGTACTGTAAGAGCCCAGCCTTGCCCGCCCATTGTACAATAAACATTGTATTGCACAGCTAAGCCCAGCGAGTTCGCAAATCAATTTTGTACTGCACAGTCCATCCGTACAAGCCCGTAATCTATTATTGCACTGTACGGCCAAGATCAGCTGAGAATAATTATTGTACCTATTAGGGATCCACATTGGGAGGCGGGAACAACAAGTCTGAATGTTATTGGAGGTCTTGGAACCGTTCCAGGAGTCAGCAAACTGTTCAAATCCTAAAACAAGTTCTGTTATTTCTTTTTACGTAGTTCCTTTAACTATTGTCATCTGAAAAGTATTTCTAATATACTTAAAAGCATCCCCCCTCACCACCCCCTCACATAAATAATGCATTTGTTTCATTTGTTCTTCACTAAACAAGATTAAAGATGTTGACCTAGAGTCCACATAAGAAGCAAAATACATTCAAATTTGTTTCCGCCAATTTTCTATTTTAAAACAATTTTAAAAGAGTAATTTCTTTAAAATAATAGGATAAATTTTCTCATTATAAGGGATCAGGGAGGGTAATCCTTCAAATTTCCAGAGATGAAAGAATGAAGAAATATAAAATAATTGTTTGTAAAATTTTGGCGGGCTTTCTGATCGTTAAGTTTGATAAAAGTGCGGGAAAATGATTTCATCCTTGAGGAAGCAAGTTCATTATTTTCTGGTGGAAATCAAATCATCTGTTTCTGGCAGATTTCAAATATGAAAGGGGAGGGGAATATCGGGGAGGGGGGGGGGGGAAATAAGGGAGAATAGGGGTAATGGACGGGGTGGGAACCAGGGGAATTTCTTTAAAGTGGAATGTAAATTGAGAAAAACAGACTATAGGGGAAAGTTAAAAGAATTTGATTTACAAACTAATTTGATTTTAGATTATTTTGACAAATATTTATATAAAAATAATAAAAATATTTTAAACAATTTTACTCATTTAAATCTAATTTATCCACAATTTTAAGCTACCCTTCTTAAAATATTTAAGGATTTATATTAGCAACTTTGAAAATTGAGTAACTTACGTTGTGGTTTCCATATAAACGTGACTCACGGATTTCGGCTACAGAAACGATTGAGGAAATTTCAAGCAAGAAAAGATGATAATATTTCACATAATGTTTAAAGGGTAATATTGTAAATCAGTCATAACCCTATTTAAATGGAGGGTCAATTGAAATTAAAAATAGTCCCTTTAAATTTTATCTTATTTTTTGTTTCACCGGATTCCCCAACCTAGGTGTTAATGATACTGAATAAAGTTTATGTTTAAGTAGGATTAGAATCCTTGGCAAAAATAAACTTTTATCAATTGCACGCCAAACTTGGGGAGAATTACTCTTTAATTCTCTTTAACTTTCCTAATTTTTTTTTTAAACTAGCATTCTATATCTAACTTTTACTTTTACTTCGGAGTTTTTCCTCCTGTTCTGCATTGGGTGATACAAGCGCTGTAGTCCTGACATTTGCAGTAAAATTTTTGCCATTTACGCATATATATATATATATATATATACTCATAGAAAACGTAATTTTTTAATTTATCGCAAAAATTTTCGGATGCTCTTTACAGACGATATATTGCGGATTTTTATTTCTCTGGAATAGAAAGACGACTTTGAGATACAAGTTTTATCTTTAAAAAGTTTAATGACATTGAAACACAGCAAATGTGCAGTGTAAACAGACCTATTTCACAAAATAAGTAATTTTATAAGTGTCTGGTAAAACTATTTGCTGTGTAACACCATCAAATTCACTTAAGTTTCGCTGTAACCTATTTCATTGTTTTCTGGTTATCACTGTATATATATTGGAAAAACATTGTTTTTATTCAAACCAAAAAAACAAATTTTATAACGGTCTTGGCAACAAACCAAGCCTTGTTTCGTAGATAAATGTTTCAAGGGTACCATATTTACCCATGAAAGTGCCACATGAAGTTTTGATGGACACATTATTAAAAACATAATAAAAGTAAATTGTTTAATATAAAACATTACGTTTTGATTCTATTGGAGTAACGATCCAACCTCATTTTGAAATTTATTTTTAGATATATATGTTTTTGGTTTTTTGTTTGTTTGAGATATCAGAGCCAAAATGTTTAAATCCATGTTTTCTAACAGAGTACAATGTCCTAGATATAATCAAAATGT